CCAGTCAGAAGTTGACACCGAGTACTCGGACCCCTTTGATGCCCAGCCTCATCCGCCACCCCCCGATGATGGCTACATGGAACCCTATGATGCCCAGCGGGTCGTGAGTGGTGAGTGAGCAGGGCTTGGGGGAAGATGACTGGGTCCCAGGTGGGAGTGGGATCTGACCAGTGTCCTTGGCCTCCCAGAACTGCCTTGTAGGGCAGTGCAGCTGTATGACACTCCCTATGAGGAGCAGGATGGGGAGCCAGGAGACAGGCCTTTTTCAGGACAAAGGCCTGGACAGAGCCGGCAGCCCCAGGAAGATGAAAGGCCAGCGGATGAGTATGATCAGCCCTGGGAGTGGAAGAAAGACCACATCTCCAAGGCATTTGCAGGTGCTTCTCCAACCCAGGCACTCTCAATGCTTGAGTCCCTCTATTTTCTGCTCTGGTCACATCCCCTGTTTCAACTTACAAAGTAGATGCCAATTATCTGCCACTTCGGTGGTTTGTTAATTCTCACTAGAGTGTGAATGACTAATAGCCATACATTTCTCTTCCCAGAAGAAACTATCTTCCTTGGAAACGGAAACACCTTGTAGAGTACAATAGGACCTACTTATTCTGCTCAGTATAGTGAAGGGGAAGGCTTTGACCTGGGTTTGTGTCACTTACTTGGGCAAATCATTTTATCTCCCTAAGTCTGTTTCCTTACCTGTAAAATGGGGGTCATCATGGTATCTACAGAATAGGGTGCTTGGAAATTGAGTGCTATAAAGTGCTCAATTACATAGGAGTTGTTGGGGAGAGAGTAGCATTTCTTAGTAGCTGTCATCAGGTAGACTTGGGTAAGCTTGGACAAGCCTCTGCATCTCAGTTTCCTCTTCTATAAAAGGAGTAACAATAAGGTCAGCTTTAAGAAATAAAATAGCCCTAGCTGGTTTGGCTCAGTGGATAGAATGTCAGCCTGCGGACTGAAGGGTCCCAGGTTCGATTCCCGTCAAGGGCACATGCCTGGGTTGCGGGCTTGATCCCCAGTAGGGGACATGCCGGAGGCAGCCAATCGATGATTATCTCTCATCATTGATGTTTCTATTTCTCTTTCCCTCTCCCTTCCTCTCTGAAATCAATAAAGATATATTAAAAGAAAGAAAGAAAGAAAATAACTTGGACCAGGAAGAGTTGTGAGAACCCAACTTTGCCCCATATGTTGTATGACTGGGAGGGGAATTTGAGCTCAGTGCCTCAGTTTACTTGTCTGTATACTGGGGAGTTGTTACCTAGTTCTGTGATTTGCAGGGAATGGGACAGAACTTCCAACCCACCCTTTTAGCTACGCCCCCTGCTCTCTGATTTGTCACTCATGAAGCTGCCCCGCCCTTCTATGCCACTAGACTTGCGGATGACCACACCCTTCTGAAAGTCAATTGGTCGTTCCTTTACCAGTTCGGCCCCAGCCCCTCCTCTTCTGGATTCCACTGGTACCGCCTTCCTACTGAAATTCCATTGGCGGGCCCCCACCCCTTCCTCCCAGGCAGGTTGGACTTAAACCTTTGCTCTCCAACCCTACCCCCCTTCAGTGCAGTTTGACAGTCCCGAGTGGGAAAGGACCCCAGGCTCGGCCAAGGAGCTCCGGAAACCCCCACCCAGAAGCCCCCATCTCGCAGAGCGTGTGGACCCTGCCCTGCCCCTGGAGAAACAGCCGTGAGTGGGGAAACTGAAGATGGAGGGCCTGGGTCGCATCCCTCCTGGCCCCATACCAGCTACAGATCCACCGGACTAGGGGAGCTGGTTCATGCACTCATTCATTTCATTCATTTCTTCAACTACTCTTCCTTGGGCGCCAGCGCCTGCTGTGTGCCAGACCGTATAGCTAGGACCTAGCTGCTAGGTGCAAAGCAGAATCAGATGGAGTCTCCACTCCCTCTGGCATCAGACTCTGGGTTCGAATCCCTGCTCTGTATCTCCTGGCGACAGGATCTGAGCCTGTCACTTATCTGGGCCTTAACTGAAAACCCCCAAGATGGTGCCTGGCTCAACCAGAGTAAAGGGGGGAATTTCCTCCCTCCACTTGGGTGGGGCTCATAAGCCTGGGAACTAAGAGCCAGAGAGATTCTCACCCCCAGGACCGGCCTGGGGTAAAACTGGGGAGAACAGGATTGTGAAGAGGCACAGGCTGGGCGGGTGAGGGTCTTCTCTGTGTCCCTCCAGCCTGGGAGCCCCGAGGGACTCCCTAAGCCCCCAGCCAGGTCCGAGCCCCGTGTGTGTTCATCACGGTCATCCCCAAACCTTGCAGGTGGGCGATACCAACCTGGCTACTTAACACTGAAGCACAAGGTGAAACGTTTATTCTCTTCAGTTTTCTTTCAATACAAACAACCACGGAGTCCCTGATGCTCACCCCTCTCTGACACCGTGCTTGCAGCTGCCACCTCCCTTTGCACACGTTAGAGAAAAATGCTAAGTGAAGAGCGGTCCAGGTGGGTGGGGATGCAGGATGGAGCAAATCTTGTGAGAGTGATAAGCAAGCGATTCGAGTTGGGGAATTAGGGCGGGGCTGAGTTATCCAGCCCGGGGAGGCTAAGGTCAAGGTCAGGTGGAGCTGTTCATTGGCAGGAGCGGCTCCACACTGGCCTGGGCTCGGCCTCCTCCCCCGGGGAAACAGGCTCCTCTTGAGAAACCCAAGGGAATTTTTCTCTTCATTGCCTGGAGGCCAAAGTCCTTTAACCACTGTGCCTGCGCCAGACCCCGAGTGTGTTTGAAGGGGGGTGGCCCTTCCTGAGACATCTGCCCCCACACCAGGTGGTTCCACGGGCCTCTGAGCCGGGCAGACGCCGAGAACCTCCTCTTGCTCTGCAAGGAAGGCAGCTACCTCGTGCGGCTCAGTGAGACCAGCCCCCAAGACTGCTCCCTGTCCCTCAGGTGAGACCCCGCCTCCGGGAGGTCACAGGACTGCATGCGGCATGTTTTCAGGTTTGAGCAGAGGGGTGTACCTCCAGCAGCCAGGGGGCTGGGCTTTCAGGCCCAGGGGTGGGCTTTATGGGACCTGTCGGTGGGGCCTCCAGGGAGACCTACGGAGAATGAGCCCCCTGTCACGGGAGGTATGCAACAAGATGGCGTGGACGCCACACGGGAGATCTAGGACTGGGGTGAGATGGAGAAGCAGATGTCAGTTTTCTGTGGACCCCCCAGTCCGAAAGTTAGAGTATATTCACTGTGTCTGTCCCGGGGCTGGAGTCTGAGTGGCCCTCTGGGCATTCGAGTTTGGGACCCTGGTGCTACGAGCTTCTCTGCCTAAGCTCGGAGGTGTGTCTGAGCATACGGCACTCCTAAGATCCTCTAGGCGTCTGAGCGTGAGATCCCTAAAAGCCCAACATTGAAGAGGCTGGTTCAAATCCTGCCTCTACCACTTTCTAGCCGTGTGACCTTAGCTCATTTACTCACCTTCTCTGGGCCTGGGTTTCCTCATTTATGAAAGGATAATAGCATCGATTTCCTGGTAATACTGCAATGATTAAATGGAAAAAAATACATGAAAAAATGTTGGGAATAGTGCCCCAGAAACAGGAAGTACCTGAATCATGTTAATGATGTGGATAAAATGATTCCCAGGTTCTACATCATTCCACTCACCCGAGACAGAGAAAGGAAAGAGACCCCAGACTGGGGGTTAACTAGTGGGGAGGTCAGGTGGGGTGGCACCAGGGGTCAGGAGGTTTGGAGAGAAAGTCAGGTCATGTTTCAGGGGAGGGGCTGTCCCCTGGCAGGGCCTCCTCCACCAGCATAGAAGGCATTCCTCTGCCGAGCAAGCCCACGCCGTGGCACCAACTGACTGTTTAACAGAAATACCTGGGGACACCAGTGCCTGGGTTCCAGGAGCAGTGATGGGGTGGCCTCAGGGCTGGAGAGCCTGCTGGGGGCTGGAGGCTGGGATGCTCACGGCCCCTGTGATGCTGTTCCCCAGAAGCAGCCAGGGCTTCCTGCATCTGAAATTTGCGTGGACACGAGAGAACCAGCTGGTGCTGGGCCAGCACAGCGGCCCCTTCGCCAGTGTGCCCGAGCTGGTGCTCCACTACAGCTCGCGCCCGCTGCCCGTGCAGGGCGCCGAGCACCTGGCCCTGCTGTACCCGGTGGTCACACAGAGCCCCTGCCCCGGAGCCTCTGCCCCTGGCCCTGCTCCGTGAGGCTGATTCGCTCCAATCCTGGAGGAGGCGAGAGGGAAAGGTTCCTGCTCGGCCAGGCTCTCCGGCTGCATTGGGGCTGCCCTCTCAGCCCCCTTCCGGGTCCTAGGGCCCAAGATTGTAAGAAAGTCCTCCTCCGATCCAGAAAATAAATAAGTTATTGTGTGTTTCAAGTGTCCTTTCTGGGAGGCCGGGATCCCAGCCGATGGGAAGGATGAAAAAGATGGACCCTTGGAGGGAGAAGGGGGTCCCCAGCTCCTCGTTTCGCAGAAAGAGCTGGGATTGGAGCCTGAATGGCTCACAGGCAGGGACCAAAACTCAGAAAGCTGTAGTCAGCGGAGTCCCGCAGATAAAAAAGATAAAGAAACCCAGAGAGGGCTCTCAGGCCAGCCCCACCCCCACCCGTTTTCCCCTCTCCATTGGGGCGGGCGGCTGAGGCCTGATGCTGCTGCTGAAAGGACATCTGTCCCCATGGAAACAGCCGGCGTGGGGGAGGGGCGCTGGGCCCAGCTGGTGTCACTTCAAGGTGACTGTTGGGCAGGAGATCCAGGAGGCTGATAAGTGCCAGGGAGTCCTTCTCCCTCCTCCCCCCCATCTCGAGCTGCCTGGGGGGTACCAGCTGGGGAGAGGGACTTCCAGCTCAGGGCACTGTGTGGAGGCTGAGGGTGTCGCTTCTCTGCTAATTGTACATGTCCCTCCACGGACGAGAGGGGGAGCTGCCGAGTCACAGAGCCCCCTTGCTGTGGACCTCTCAGCCATCCCTGGGGTTCCAGAGGACCCCTTGAATCTTTCTAGCACCCCCAAATTGCCACAAACTCTGGCTTTTCTTCATGAGCCTTTATGGGGTTTCCTGGGGACAAGGGAGAGGCCCAGGGTCAAAGAAATAGGACAGGGGTCTCAGAGGGGCTGCTGGACTCCCGAGACCAGTCACATCCCGTGTAGCCACTGGCGGGTCTTGTCTGAGTCCCCGGGGTTCTGACTCCTCTTCCCACTTCAAGGACCCCCCTTGGCCGTGGCTGCCCAGAGAAGCCTGGGCCAGGAGAGGCTCTGCCTGTAGAAGTGGGGTGACGGGCTGGGGCTGGGCAAGGTTTGGGGGCCAGATGCCACCGAGGGTTGGGAGGTGGGGGGACAGTGGTGGAATGGAAGGGACGGCCCTGCTGGTCCTCCCTGGGGATGTCCAGCCCCTTCCCCTCCACAGGCCTTGCCTCCGTCCTCTTTGGGACCCGCTGGGCAGCAGAGGGTGTTGCTGTAGAGGGATGACAAAGACCCAGAGGGGACAGCCAGCCCAGCCGGTGTGGCTCCATGGTTGAGCGTCAACCTATGAACCAAGGGGTTGTGGTTTGATTCCCGGTCAGGGCACGTGCCCAGGTTGTGGGCTTGGTCCCCAGTGGGGGGTGTGCAGCAGCCAGCTGATTAATGATTCTCTCACATCATTGATGTTTCTATCTCTCTCCCTTTCCCTTTCTCTTTGAAATCAATAAAAATACATATATTTAAAAAGAAGAAAATAAAGAAGGGACAATCAGTTAAGAGAGCCTGGCTTTTCTTCAGCTCACCTCCGGGGGCTTTGTCTCTGCTTCTGAAGAGCATGGATGGACAGGGCAGCCTTCACCTCTTCCCCTCTTTTCAGCCCTCAGCCCTCCCTCCCTCCTTCCAGAAGTGGGAGGTGGGGGGACAGTCCATGCTTGTGAAGGGCTGCAGTTCCCACCTACGCCCCGCGGAGAAGGGTCCCCAGGGGATGGCTCCAGAACCATCTGCCCTGGTGAGACTACCTGTGCCCTCACCTGCGTCCTTGAGGCTGGAGCCCAGAGCCGGGTGCCCAGCCTGATACAGCCAAGGTCATGACCCCGGCCTCCAGCAGCATGAAGAGGCCTGGGGTGAAAGGGCAGGAGGTGGGCGAGACACAGGTGGCAGGGGTGGTGCAGGAGGGACCCCAGGTGAGGCTCACCTGGGAAGCCAGGGGTCTGGTTCGTTGGGTAGTAGGCCTCCTGCGGAGGAGAAACCTCTGTCTCAGGGCCCAGCCTCCCACCCCAGTGGGACCTCCGGTCCCTGGGCCTGCTGTGCTGTTGGACTCTGGGCAGGTGCTGACTCTAACCCTGATTCCTCTTCTGAGAAAAGGACACACATTCCTGTCTTACTGGGTTGCAGTGGATTTTTTCATCATGAGCTCCATGGGGTCACGGACTTCAGTCACCCTCACGGTGACCTCCATCACCTGGCTCACCAGGGGTCACACCCCGCCCCAGGTCACACAGCAGTGAATGGCGGAGCGGGGACATGCTTCCAGGTCTGTACAGTTGGCATGACCCCAGCCAAAGGCTCCTGCTGCTGCACCTGAACCCTCCATCTTCAGGTCCTAAGGTCGGCAGTGGTGCCTGGGGGCTGTGAAACAGCTGTGCGGGGCGGGAAAGCCACTGTGAGGACGGGACCTGCGCCAACTCGTTCCCTCGCAGCTGCCAACAGCTCACAGCCTGGTGCCTCTGCTCATTGGTGATTGGCCCCCTCATCACTGGAGGGGTCGGGGGTGCGAGGACAGCCAGAGTCCCCTGCCCTGGAGGCAGGCAGTGGGCGGTCCTGCCAGCTGACGGGGAATGGGCATCTCTGTCTGAGAGGGGCTGGGAGCCAGGGCGGTGCTGCACTGTCTGATAGGGGCTGGGCATGCGCCCGAGGCCATCAGAAACCACGGAGAGCAGAGCCCTGGCGGAGGCGGCTTGGGTCCCTGCGCCTGCTCCAGGGTCAGCCCAGGAGGCCGTCCTAGGCAGAGTGGGGAGTGTGTGAGCCGGGCTGGAGAGAAAGCCCTGCTGCGCTGGCTCCTGTGTGTCACTGATGACTTGGCCCTCTCAGCGCCTCAGCGTTTCCATCTGCAAAACGACGCAGCTGCCTTCGCTGGTCTGGAGAGCTCCCTCCAGCTTTGAGTCAGTGACTCTCAGTTCTGGGTTCTAGAATTCTCTGGTCTACTCAGACTGCAAACTTCTAAGAGTCTCTTTATTTAAAGTGTTTGCCATAGTGCAGTTCTAAGATTCTAGAACCATCCATTCCTTTATTTCAGGGTTTCTCGATGGTTTATTATTGTCACCCCTCCCCCTAGGAGTCTTTTAAAAAATCTTAATTTCTTCCCCCATGAAATTTTAATACCACAGATATACTGTAAATCTATTTGTGCATTATGTGCATATTTATGGTTTATACATAGAAAAGATAAATTTTTCTTTGCTCCCCAAGAACCAATTTTTGCCTCTTTAGGGAGTGATCTGCCCCAATGAGAACATACACTTTAGTTCTTTTTATTTTTTTAAGTCTGCAGTGTCCATTTAGTTCATTTGTTTTTACTTTTTTATTGAATTTGTTGGGGTGGCATTGGGTAATGAAGTTATATAGGTTTTCAGGTATATGATTCTATAATACATCATCTGTATATTGCAGTGTGTCCACCACCCCTTATAAGCGATAGTTCTGAGAGCTGAGAATTTTATAGCCCTAGGATTCTAGAACGGCAAGATTCTATGTTGTGCTTCGAGATTCTAGAATTGTCCCAGGTGCAGCAGAACTGTGTATGTAGCTGACGAAAAGACACCTTCTAGAGAATCCACGGCAGCCTTGCTCATGAGAGCCAAGGCCCAGAGCTGCCCACGTGCCCATCAGTAGAAATCGGGCCGAGAAATGGCAGTGGGGTCACATGTTGGGATACTCTACCACATGCACCGACATGAATGAGTCTTCCAGACACATAGAGTAAAAGAAATCAGATGCAAAAGAGAATACACTCTATGGTTCCATTTAAATAAAATAGAAAACCAGCAAAATGGATCTATGCTGCTAGAAATCAGGATAGTATTGTAGGGGGGGGCGGGGGGCAGCTGTGAAGGCCGTGAGTGTGGTATCTAGTGGGCTGGAAAAGTAGTTCCTTTTTAAAGAGAGAAGAGTTCACTTTATTATTTTTTTCCACATTATTTTTTAAATATGTTTTTTATTGATTTCAGAGAGGCAGGGAGAGAGAGAGAGAGAGAGAGAGAAACATCAATGATTAGAGAGAATCATTGATTGGCTGCCTCCTGCATGCCCCCCACTGGGGATCGAGCCCACTACCAGGGCATGTGCCCTTGACCGGAATCGAACCTGGGACCCTTCAGTCCGCAGGCCAACGCTCTATCCACCAAGGCTCGGGCTGGAATTGTTTTTAATAAAAAACTCCAGAATTATATGTACTTAAGAGTCTTTATGATTGTGATATTCTGGAACTGGGTTCAGCAAACTCTACAGCCTGCTGATCAAATTCAGCCACTGCCTGTTTCTTCAAATAAAGTGCAAACTCTACAGCCTGCTGATCAAATTCAGCCACTGCCTGTTTCTTCAAATAAAGTCCTTTTTATATTTTTATTTTATACTTTAAAATATTTTATTAAGATAAAATTTGCCTACAGTGAAATGCATAGATCTTAAATGTATAATTCAACAAGTGCTTACAAAATGTATTTACACATATAAACAACATATCAATCTAAACATAGAATGTTTCAATCTCTGCAGAAAGTTCCCTGTACATACCACCCCCATAGATGATCACTGTTTTCATTTATATCATTAAAAGTTCTTTTTAAAAATACGTTTTTATTGATTTGAGAGAGAGAGGAAGGAAGAGGGGGAGAGAGAAAAACATTGATTAGCTGCCTCCTGCACAGCCCCCACTGGGGATTGAGCCCACAACCCCATCAGGTGACCAGGAATGGAATCGTGACGTCTCAACGCAACCAACTGAGCCACATCAGCCAGGGCTCAAAGTTTTATTGGAACCCAGCGCCGCCATTAGCCTACTGTCCTCTACAGGGGTTACAAAGGCAGAGCGGAGTGGCTGCAACAGAGACCCCCTGGTTCACAAAACAGAAACTATTTACTATATTGCCCTTTACAGAAAAAGTTTGCCAGAGCTCTGGTCTAGAGTTATAAGTTTCAGCATGCCTTTGGTTCCGTGATTTATAATTTGATGTTCTTGGCATTTGCAGGATTTCTGTTCCTAAAAGTCTGATTTGAATTTAGAGCTTATGTTTACAGCTGTTTGAAATTCTAGTCTTAAGATTCTGGAAGTCCCAAGTCCCTGCCTCTTCTCCCCACTTGCTCTCACACCCCTGTCCACCAGGAGCTGTGCTCCATCGCCCTTGGCCTCCAACAATTCAGGAATCTCCATGGTTGCCCAGCACAAGTAGTTCCCATTGTTGTTGATAGTCACGCGGTCCAGCTGCAGCGAGATTGCCAGGTGGTCACCAGAAGAGTCATCCCTGAGGCTCTCAGACCTCCAGGCTGGGGTTGCGGTTGGTGATGTATGGTGGGCACAAGGCAACACTGTCCTGGGTCCACTCGACAAGGAGCTGCTCCCAGGCCTGAGACTGTGCCACCTGACAGGTCAAGGTCACCTGGCTGCCCTGCCTCCCCTGCAGCAACTTGGGTCCCTGTTGCACACTCAGGCCTGTGGCTCCTTGCAGGGCCGGGAGGCAGAAGAGGTGAGTGAGGCCTCTCTCTCTCTCTCTCTCTCTCTCTCTCTCTCTCTCTCTGTGTGTGTGTACACGTGCGGTCTTACTCCCAGAGCCCCTCACTGTGGTGAGGCAGTAAGAGGTTAGAACCTTGCTGTCTGTATGATCTTTTGCAAGCTCACTTCTTCTTGCTGAGCTACAGTGGCCTCATCTGTGAAACGAGTATAACTCTCTCAGCACTTGTGAAATTTCAAGATGGACTTTATGACATGCCCAGCTCTCAGCCACACAAATGTCGCTTTGTATGTGCCAGGCCTATTCTGGACACTGTGGACACAGACACAGAGGTGACTGAGACGGACAAAAATCCCACCCTTGGGCAGCTGATGGCCCAGGGCAGAGAGAGACACAGGAAGTCGTGAAATAAGAATAATAATGGCCCTGACCGGTTTGGCTCAGTGGATAGAGCGTCACCCTGCGGGCTGAAGGGTCCCGGGTTCGATTCCGGCCAGGGGCATGTACCTTGGTTGCGGGCACATCCCCAGTCGGGGGTGTGCAAGAGGCAGCTGATGGATGTTTCTAACTCTCTATCCCCTTCCCTTCCTCTCTGTGAAAAATCAATAAAATATATTTTAAAAAAAATAATAATGGAGGAAAGGAAGAGGGAGTGGCAATAGGGGATAAGGATGAGGTGAGAATCTACTTATTGAGGGTGGTCAAGGAAGGCCTCTCAGGGGAGGTGACATTTGAGCCGGGGTCTGAATGGTAAAAAGAGAGAAGAAGAGGGCTGATTAGAAAAAGAGTTTGCTTTTGGCACCTGTTAGATCCCCCAGAAGGGGTGAGTTTACATTAAGCTCCTAGCATTTGAGACACAATTGCAGCTGAGGATAGAGAGATGAAATCCAGGGAATGTTTCAGGCAGAGGGAACAGCATGTGCAAAGTCCCAGAGGAAAGATCAAGCTTGGTGTGCTGGGAAAAAACAAAAAGAAAGACAAGCCAGTGGGCGGCCAAGGGGGAGGGAGGGAAGGCCGCGGGGGTGATGTGGTGATGAGAGGCCAGTGAGGCAGGTCACGAAAGGCTGGTATGTAGGTCTTGGTTTAATTTTATCCTAAGGACCCTTGCTAGACCCCTTCAACTCTCCTAAGGTTCTGAGTATCAGAGAGAGACAGGCCTTATTTGGCAGAGCAGAGAGACTAAGGTTTAGAGGAGCTTTGAGTGGAAGGGGTGGGCAGCTGGAGTGGTGGACAACAGAAGGGGGTGCAGAGGGGAGAGAGGCCCAAGGAGGACCAGGGCTGTGCCCATGGACCCCACTCCTGGCCCATCAGGCCTTCCTCTCCTGGCTGGCACCGCCACCACCTCTATCCCTCTCATGTGACAGACTTCCTGCCGCAATCTCTGCCCCGGACACAGAGGCAGGTGTGACAGCTGGGCAGGCAGCAGACGTCTGCGGAACAATGCTGCAGGGGGCTCCATTCCCAGCCACCTTTTGCCTCAGTTTCTCGAAGTTATTTTATTTTATTTTATTTGAAAGGCATCTGCATATGTGAGTGGGAATGTGTCCCACTGAGTGGAGATCTTTCTGGAAGACTATATATAAACACACCTGGCCTGGTTAGGGTGGGGGTGGGGGGGGCATTGGAAGGGCAGGTGATGCCGCAGTGGGGCGTGGGGACGGGGAGCAGTGGAGGTGGAAGAGCAGAATCCAGATCTCGGAGGGAAAGAAGGCATAGAAGCCAGAACGTCCGCTGGGCAAAGGCCTTGGCTTTTCAGTAAATGCAAGGTTGTGAGTCATCAGGGGCCAGATCTCGGGGGCCAGTTCTCGGTGGAATTCCAGCGTGAGCAGCAGTGTGGGTGATCCCGTGGGGAGACTGAGGCCCCGGGAGGACTCGGATGGGCTCTAGGTCACAGGGCAGGGCTTGGGGTCGAACCCAGACGTCCTATCTCCCAGCTCCAGGCTCCCTTCCGCTCAGCCATCACCGCCAATTACCAACGTCACCGAGTGCGTCCCAGGTTCGGGGGTGCGGGTTGGAGGTGGGTGGGTGGGTGAGCGATTAGGGGTGTCCCTGCTCGCGGAGACCCCAGCGCGGGACTACATTTCCCAGCCTGCCGCATTGGGTGGGGGTCGCGCCTGCGCGCTGAGGCCAGTGATGGAGCGCTGAAGGGGGGCGCGGCGGCGCGGCGAGGGCTCGGCGGGCCATTGGCTCCCGGCAGCGGCCAAGGCAGCTTGGGGACCAGAAGAGCCAGCGGGGCCCGCGGGCCGGGCCGGGACGAGCTGGGCTGCAGCCATGGAGGACCAGAGGGTAAGACCAGGGCGGGGCGCAGAGGCACCCGCCTCGGGTACCCAAAGAGAGGGGATCAGGGGATGCCGCAGCGCCCTCCCTCCCGCCCCCGCCCCCAGCTGCTCTGCAGTGCGGACTCCACCCCCGCCGCAGTCTGGCCAGTCTAGCTAGCCCCCTCCATTGGGAACGTAGCCCCCCACATTTGCCCAGACCCCGTATAATCCTAGCCCCCACCCCCACCCCCACCTCCGCCCAGTATCCCAGGCGCAACCTGGACCCCATCCCCCACGCCTTCCATCCGGACTGTGGACCAGGTGTCCCGGCCCCCGCCCCACCAGCTCAGCACAGGTGACTCCACCGACCCTGCGTCCCCAGAAAACAGACCCGTCCGAGCCTGGGTCAGAGCTACAGGCCCCAGCAAGACCCTCCCACGCCGCCTTTCCTCCCGGCATGCCCTCCCGGCATCCCCTCCTCCAGACCATCCCCCTTCCCCACTTACCTGGCTCCCTGGCACCCGCTCTCCTCAGCTTCCTTTCTCCTTGCCAAGCCCTTTTCCGAGGGCCTCCCCTTCCCCAGGTCAGCCCATCTGCTGCAGGCATCACTTTCCTTTGGGGTTTTCTTTTCCCGAGCGAGCCCCTCACCTGATCATGCCCCGCCCTCAGGACGGAGGTTTGCAGGCTTTGTGCTCCCGCCCAGCGTTTGTTCCTTACTGAGAGGCTCACTCTGTGCCTCAGTCTCCTCGCCTGTAAAATGGGTATCTTCATGGTGCCCACCTGCTGGGTGAGGGCAGGTAGGACCAGAGCTTCCCCCAGGGCCTGCCTCCTGCTGAGTGCCCAAGCCATTGGCACAGTGGCCCCACGTCTCCCTGGATCTCTGGAGGTTGGAGCGATGAGCTCCAAGTGAGGGAGCTGGGCCAGGCGGAGGGGCTTACTGGCCTTGTGTGCGCTTCCCCTGGGGGCAGGAGGCTCTGCGGAAGATCATCACCACGCTGGCTGTAAAGAATGAAGAGATTCAGAGTTTTATCTACTCCCTCAAGCAGATGCTGCTGAACATGGAGGTGAGGGCAGGTGATGGACGGGAGGGCGGGGGCAGCCCTGTGAGCGAGCCTGTTGCTGCTGATAACCGTGGAACTATGGGCCCGGCTGCCATGTCCAGGCCTCAGTTTCCCCATCTGAGCATGGGCTTTGGCCAGTCCTGGCTGTTGAGACCTGCCACGTCTCTCCAAGGCGAACTCGGCCAAGGTGCAGGAGGACCTGGAGGCGGAGTTCCAGTCCCTTTTCTCCCTCCTGGAGGAGCTGAAGGAGGGGATGCTCATGAAGATAAAGCAGGACCGGGCCAGCCGGACCTACGAGCTGCAGGTGTGTGCTCGGGGGACTCTCCAAGACCCCAGATGCCATCTCCACTGCACCCCTCAGATCTCAGCTGGCCTCCTGTCTGTTTCCAAACCTGCCCCTTTTCCTGTGTCCCTTCTTGGAGATGCTCCCGTGTTCCCAGTGTCCAGAGCCAGACACCCTGATGATGCTGGCCTCTCGGTCTCTTGCCTGTCCCCTCCTTGGCCATGACCTATCAACCCCCCACCCACCTGTTCTCCCTCTTAATCCCCCATTTATTCCGCCCGCTTCTCACCATTGCCACAGCCACGCCCCCACAGCTGGCTGTTCCTCCCTCCTGTTCTCACCCAGTGACTCCTTTCTCAGCCCTTCCCACTGGTCCCCCAGATCTGATGGCCAAACACCCCCCATGGCTCCTGTGGGATTGGTGGGGCTGTATTGAAACCTCCTGGGCAACTTCCTAACACCCCAGATTCCCACCCCCGGGGACGTAGAGCCCTGGGCTCAGGTGTGGCCTGGGCGCCTGCGTGTTTGAGGAAGGATCCCCAGGTGATGCTGATGTTCTTCGAGGAGCAACACCCAACCTTTCTCCAGCTCCCACTCCCACTTGGAGTTGGAAAAGGGTGTGGTGCCCTGAATCCCAAAGGCAGGGGGAGGCCGGGGAGGGTCTGATGCATCGGGGTGAGAGGTTTCCTCCCTCAGTGCCCTGCCACCCGCAGAACCAGCTGGCTGCCTGCACTCGGGCCCTGGAGAGCTCCGAGGAGCTTCTGGAGACAGCCAACCAGACCCTGCAGGCCACAGACAGCGAAGACTTTCCTCAGGTGGGGCCTCAGAAGCCACGCTGGTAGGGCTGCCAGACAAAATGCAGGACACCCCGTTAAATTTCCAGTTCATGGCCACCACGAGTAACTTTTTAGTAAAGTATGGCCCATGCAATATTTAGGATAAGTATGTTCCATGTGATCTTTGGGATATACTTATCCAAAAAAATAAAATAAAATTATTGGCCCTGGCCAGGTGGCGTGGTTGAAGCATCATTCCAATGACCCACGGTTGCAGATCCCTGCTCAGGGCACGTGCAAGAATTAACCAGTGAATGCGTGGATTGGTCGAACAACAAATCTCTCTCTCTCTGAAAATCAAGAAATAAAAGTTTTAAAAATAAGTAAATAATAATTATTTGTTGTTAACCCGAAGTTCATACTTAACAAAGAATATTTTTTTAGTATAAGTATATCCCATGCAAATGTTTATATAAGTATTTCTCAGATGTTGCATGGGACATATTTATATTAAAATAATAATTATGTATTTGAAATTTAAATTTAACAATGAGTAATTTTTTAGTATACTATATCCCATGCAACATTTAGTACGGCAGGTCCTTGAATAACATTGTTTTATTCAAAGTTGTTTTGT